GACACACACACACACAGACACACACACAGAGACACGCACACACACACACACACACACACAGACAGACACACACACACATTAGTCCATCTACACACAACAATAATCCATCATGATGATCAGCTGATTAACTCCACTGGAACTCACTCAAGTTCATATTGCTCTCTTAATATCTTCTTCATGCCTTCTAGTGGCATTTATCAGATTAGAGCTGGACGATGATATAGTTTGATTTTGTGGCGATATAAAGAATCAAGCCGTTGAGATCTGCTGTTTAACTGCAGCTGACGGGAATAAATAAAAGGTTTTTAATATCAGCACGTGTGTCTCATGTCTGTAGCAGAAGTCACGTGTTTGAATTCATGTCAAAATCTGAGGGAATGAACAGCGTCATGACGTCTCATCGCACAGTATACCTCCATCATTAGTGTCTAAAAGACCGTTCACAACAATGATAAAAACACACAGAAACAATATCACTGGAATCACTTTCAGAGCGTTTTCTTCCAGCTTATGAATGATTAAAATATGGACAGCCAATCAGAATCCATCATGCTTTAAAGCGCTCAAGCATTTAAAGCGACAGGCGACAAAACTGCAAAATACTGTAAATGTTATCATCTGCTGGTGTGAACACTAATATATATATGAATATATATTTCTCATTATAGTTGATGTTGATGTAGTTATTACTATAGTATCATTCTTGGTGTGAACAGGTCTTAAAAGCATCCCATGATGCACCTGATGAATGTCCAAAGTGATGAGAGCTGGACTGGAGCTGCAGCAGCTCAAACATGTTTTGATCACTGCATCATCAGCGTGATTCCAGCACTGCACTGTTATAAAACAATCACGAATGCATGTGCAGCTGCGTCATACTGAAGATCATTTATGCCATGGGATAAAAAATTAAATAAAGGTAAATGCAACTTTTTATCTTATGATTCTGACTTTCTCAGAATTACAAGATTTTGAGGAAAAAAAAGGTTCTTACAAAAAACTCTTTTTTTTTAATTCTGTGGCAGAAATAAGCTTCCATAGTGTCTAAACCTTTAACCTGTGTGTGTGTGTGTGTCTGACCTGTCTCTCTCTCTCACAGGCCCTGAGGAAGCAGCAGACGGGGGTCCTGACGCCTCAGAGCTGCCCACAGAGATGCCTGCACCTAAATTAGTCATATGAATGGGTCCATGCTATGAGCAGAAAAACACAACAGCATTAACACACACCCTCATTTACATCACACACACACATCAGTGACTCATCATCTCTCACTCACACACAGCACTCTCTCACAGACACTCACTCACACACACACTCACACTCACACACACATCACTGACTCATCATCTCTCACACATACACACAACTCACTCTTACACAGAAGAGGAAAATCACATTTACAGACAAACACATGAGCAGTTCCCAACTTCCCATCATTCACTGCAGGAACCCTAGTGAGCTGCTGTATGCTAACGGCACAGACCAATTAAACTAAAAACAAAGTGAAAATAGAAAATAAAACACTAAAGCTAGTATCTTAATGATTAGGACACACGTCAGGCTAACGAGCAGCACACAAACACGGATGATGTATGTACTGCTGTATTTCAGCACTGCGGTCAGTACTACTGCTCTCAGACCAGCACCCGTGATGCTGTCTAGTTAGGCGGCTCACTAGGGTTTGAGCTTTTATCTGCTGTCATTCATTACAAATAAACTGCCAACAAACACTTCAGGTACTCATGACCCCAGAGATCAGAGGTCACTTCATTACAGGCTCCGCCCACAAACTGCTGTCACCATGGCAACAGGCCGCTGACCTCACGCACCTGCAGAAACACAGTAAAGGCAGACGGTGATGAGCGCAGCGTCCGGCGTGTGCCAGAGCTCACCTGGTATCCCAGCAGGCCGCTGTTCGTCTCGTCTGGCACCTCCTCCGTGAAGCGGCGCTTCTGCGGCGGGATGGGCAGAGCCACGGTTGTGGGCGGAGCCATGGTTGTGGGCGGAGCCACGGTCGTGGGCGGAGGGAACAGAGCGGGAGGAAGAGTCTGGAGACAGAGACAGACGCTTGAGGAGACGGATGACAGACGGCGGTGAACAGATGCGTGTGAGCGCATTACCTGTGCCGGGACGCTCGCGGGGGTGATGGGATACTGTGCGGTGGGGACGGGGCCCGGGGCCGGAGCCACCGGATACTGAGGAGCGACGGGCTGCGGCGGCGGGATGGGGGCGGGGTAGGAGGGCTGGAAGCCCGCGGGGGGGTAATACGGAGGCTGCGGCGGGATCCCGTTAACAGCAGGAGGATGAATGAATCCTGCTGACAGACACAGCACTCAGTCAAAGCATGGGAACGCTCACGCTTCCGGTCACATGACCTCACATGAAAACCAATGATGTCAAGAGATGCTGCTGAGCAAATGCGCTTTTTTTGGGATACTGCAATCGTCAGTCAACAAATAACATTACATTTTTAATAGCTTTAACGTTTGTTCTGGTCTCCCACATTCACATGTGTTTGAAAGAGAGTCATTAAATCAGAAGTGTAGCACGATCACTACTGACAACTGCTTTCAATGGAAACTAACTAAAGCCTGCTCGTTAAGAATCGAGAAAAAAAATAAAAAATAAAAGGTGAAATAACAACAAAATTGACAAAAAAAGGGAATTTCCCACATCATTTGGATTTTAGATGCAGTGAAGCATCATGTCCTGCCTGATACACGAAATAAACACGACGTTTACATAGTTAACTCCTTTTATTCTCGTCTCCAGCAACATCCGCCATCATCGTCCCTCACACACACACACAGAACCTGCCCGCACACATGCATGTGCTTTTCTGTGTGTGTGTGTGCGCGTGTGTGGGTGAGTGATTGTCTCTGTGTGAGAGTGTGAGTGAGTGTGTGTGTGTGTCTCTGTGTGAGTGTGTGAGTGAGTGTGTGTTTGAGTGTGTGAGTGTCTGTGTAAGTGTCTCTGTGTGAGTGTGTGTGTGATTGTCTCTGTGTGAGTGTGTGTGTGTCTCTGTGTGAGTGTGTGTCTGTCTCTGTGTGAGTGCGTCTCTGTGTGAGTGTGTGTGTCTCTGTGTGTGTGTGTGTGTCTCTCTCTCTCTGTGTGTG